TTGAGTTATATTTAGTAGACTTTTAAGGATATGTATGGAGTTGGATATGAGTTTGCTACCGGGTTGATCGGTTCTATAAAAGAGAGCTTACAAAAATTGAGTGATTGGTATAAGCAAACTTATGACTAAAAACATAATAGACAACCTATTGGTAGTGGTGAAAACAATGTTTCCAATGACGAAACAGATGTTAGTCGTCCTTCAGTAATGGCTAGAGTCGATGCTTTTGAACAACATTTAGAGGAACAAAACTTGATTGATCAACAAAATGAGCTTCAGGGTTTTTACTCTAGCAAGTGTGTCAAAAGGGATCCTAATTTTGACATTCTTGTGTGGTTGAAACACAACTCAGCACAATATCCAATTTTATCTACAATAGTTAAGGATATTTTTGTCACACTATTGTCTATTGTTGCATCAGAATGTGCTTTCAGCACGAGAAGGAGAGTCTTAGAAACTTATAGGAGCTTCCTAAAATCTGAAATGACAGAGGCATTAATTTGCACCCAGAATTAGTTAAAACCATTTTTTACCTATTTCAAAGACTTGAACCTCATGGAAGATTTTGAGCTTTCTGAAGATATTATCACATGTAAAATTATTACTTTATTTTGAATAAATAAGATGTTGTAATGTTATATCTTTCAAAAAAATATTTATTTCATTATTTCAGAGTTTGAAGGAATGTCTTCTGCAACGAGATGAGGATCTTCACAGTCACAACCACAACTTTCTGGTTGTGCTTGAAAAATATGAAGGTATATTTACTTTAATTTGACGTACTTATTACTCTATTCTCTTTTAAAACTTAATATTTTTCTTGTTTAATTTTTCAGTTCGACTATGTTTTTTGAAGTCATATGTGACTTATATTTTGTCACTACTTAATGGCCAAATGAAAAAGATATATTTTGTCACGTGGATTTCGAAGATACTCGAGCTAAAAAGATTTTGGTATATGCATCAAATTAAGGTTAGGCAAATTTTGTACAATAACAGGTGTTTTGTCTAGTTTAGAATTTTAATGTAGAATTTGAATTAAGTAGTTTTGACTAATGCTTGAAATGTCAAATTTGAATTTTAGATTGTTTTGTATTTATTCTTGTTTTTATGACATAATTTATGTGCCAGATGAATGAAAGGTTTTCGCTATTCTTTCAGGTGAGGTAATTTATGAAATATGCGTTGTTACAATTACATCCCTTTGTAATAGCATATACTGCAATCTTGTCTTTTTTTTTTGCTCGTTTCAGATACCAGAGTCATTATCAATGCAACTCCAAACATGGCATTCTTTCGCAATACACCAAAAGTCCAAAGGAGCAATGTAGGGCTACAGTAAGAATTTCATTGTCAAAAATTGAGAATTTCTTATGGCCCTTATTTTCAGAGATGCATCTCCAAACGCACTCAAATGTAAGTTAATGTTGAAATATTGCAGAGATGCATCTCCGGAATATTTTGGAGCATAAGTCGCGTCAGACTCTTCTCCTTCCTCATTTCACACTTTTCTTAACTCAATTCAAACCCTCTCAATACACTACTCTACGCCAAGTCAAATTTCTTCAAACAAGGCTCAAGGGAAGTCAGGGGAACATTAATTTTCATTTGTAACATCATTCAACTTCATCAAAAACATCAATTGCATGTAAGTTTTTTGAGTTTTCGATAAATGTTTGAGTTTTAGTGTAAATGAGTAGAAATTAATTATAGAAATCACATGTAACATAGTTTAGACATAGTGTATAAGTTGTTTGTTTGCTGAAAATGGTGATTGGAACAAAAAAATTTAACCTTGCATGTGGTACATTCGCCATTGACGCAACTTCTGGGTTGCAGAAAATTTTGGAGATGCATCTCTGAAATTGTTAAGCAATTCATATACTGCAGGAATTTCTGGAGATGCATCTCCGAAATTTTTAACGTTTTAGTTTCCAGGTGATTTCGGAGATGCATCTTCGAAATTTTCTGCAGTATTGTTTTTAGATTTTCTTGCTTGTGTGATGTTTGTGTGCACAAATAGTATGCCTTACTTTAACTTACGTCACATAATGGTTGAGAGACATGATAAACTGAGGCATGGCAGGGTTGCTCAGCACGCATTCGTTCGGCAGAAGCGGAACCAGCAGGTTCCGGAGGCTCCATGTCCATCTAGTCAGGCATAGCCATCTACTTTTGGGGCTCGTGCTTCTTCTCATGTCACTCCACCTTCTTCTTCCCGTAAGAGACAGAATTCACCATCTGACGCATCACTTCCCCCATCCTCTCGCATGCGTGTGGATTCACCAGTGCTACTTTCTACAGATGATGTTGTTGATCTAGTCTCACCTCCTACGGATGATATTGTTGATCTAGTGCCACCTCCAGAGGGTGAGGCTACTGCGAATGCCAAGCCAAAGGCTTTTGGAGGAGGTCTAGTTTAGTTGATGGTAGAGCATCTGGGGGATGATCCAGTAGAGGCGATGGAGGAGATGGATAAGACCAGAGGTGCACATGCTAGATTTGAGTTCTTGAGGAAGATCTATGTAGCTGAGATCCAGATAGCAGGGCAGGCTCATGGTGATGATGAGCAGGTGGTAGTCCACAGATCACATGCTTTGAGAGCATACTTGATTTTTTTTATTGACATTTTGATTTTTGTGGACGAAAGTGCCACATATACTGGCGTCGTCTACCTAAGGTACTTTTTGGATTTCGAGCGGATCCATGAGTACAACTAGGGGACAGCTTGCCTGGTCTACCTGTATTTGAAATTGAGAGAGAGTTGTATGTGGAAGACGAAGCAGGTCACAAGCAGCGTAACACTACTGATGGTAATAATTATTGGTCTTTGAATATTTTTTTATTTCTGATTTGCAAAGTCATGATTGATGATTCATGTGTTATAAACTTTTCATTTCAGGCTTGGATCCTCCAACACTTCCCGTACATCTCTAGTTGGACGAGTGTGCTTGAGTACACTAAGGATATGTCGCGTGCTATTACTTTTATCCCACTCAATGGCAACAAGGCAATCGAGTCTTACATGGTTTATCTTGATCATTTGGTTGTTGAGGACATGCACTTCAACAGCTATGTTGATCACCGTCAGGCGCATCCATTTGACGAGATATTGTTATACTCTGTATGGTTGACATGTGGATCGCTTCTCACTGCTCCTCATCTGTCCGAGTGCGTCATGCGGCAGTTCGGCTACGTTTAAACCATTCTCAGACACCTTGTTGTCTCTGCTCCTCTGGCCTTGACACGCAGATAGATAAAGGATGTGTTTTATGATTATGACAGGGGGGTTGATGGTCCGGGAGGTAGAGGAGGTAGAGAAGAGGTTGTGAGACACACATAGTAGTAGTCTCTTATTATTGTGTACTAGTACTATGATCTGTACTTTATTTTGACAGTATTACTACATTTTGGATCTCGATTGTATGACATTTTCGACATATATTACTATTTTATTTTTGTATGACATTTTTGGTCCATTTGAAATTATGTACGTCTATTTTTTTATTTACGATCGTACGTTATACTTCATATGAATACAGATAAACAACTCATAGCATTAAATACGTGTTTTGATACATTTCAGAGATGTATATCTGAAATATTCATGGAGATGCGTCTCCAATACAATTTAAATGTAAATGACTTCTGAGTGAAATGTATTGAATATTTTAAATTATTTCGGAGATGCATCTCCAAAATATTTCAATGTTTATTCAGAAATATGTACCTTCCAAAATGCATCTCTGAAAACTAGAAACATTTAAGTAACTTCATATGGTGACTAAGAAATAGTTAAGATACATTAAGAAATTCTCTGACAGCTTGATGCTTGTTCATAACATATGATCAAAAGGAGGAGTTTGGATGAGATTGTTCAATGCATGAGTTATGATATAACCCTAGAAAATAATGGTATATTTTAATTTTAGTATAAAATATGATATATGATGTGGTCCATCCTCCATATTACTATAGGTCAAAATTAAATCTTAGTTACTGTTTGATTTAGACATGTGTATGAAAATGAAATATTAAAACTCTATGGTGTAGGTGGTTCCCCAGAAAATATTTCACTTTCATATGGTCAAAGTTCTGTGTTGTTTCAAGTAGGGCTATGGTAAGAATCTCATTGTCAAAATTATTACATCAAATTCATGGGACAGGTTGATACCTGTTCAGAACAACTTGAAATTGATGAGATTGGATGCAATTTTATTGAAGATTCAGACTAAAGTGTTTTCTCTAGTATGTACAATAATAATAAGTCTATTTAAAACATTGAAATTATACTTTTGATGGACAGAACAATGTAGACCTTTACATTGAGATCTCACATCCTGTATATGCATTCTAGTACCTAGGATTAAAATTAAGCTCCATCAATCATTGTTGGATTAACTTTCTCATATTCTGTTTGTAGGTTGTCTTGGCAACTGCAAGAAAAAACATCTTGGCCATGAGCTTGATGCTCATGCTGGCTGGATTTATGGGGGGCTGCTCATGGAAGGCTGCCCACGCTGCATCGATTTATAGGGCTTCTCTTGATGCTATTATTATTGGAAGGCCATTAATAGTAGTTTATAATACTATTATTATTTAAATAGTAGTAATTAGTTGTAATTTGGATTTATGTTGTATATTTTGGATTTATATTGAGACCATTGATAATTTCATCATCAATATCTCATAAATTCTCCTAAAAATCTCACAAATTCCAGATTTTAATGTTCCAGCACTACAGAAGGTTCAAAAAAGAAAGAGATTAAAGATGCCAACAGTTCAAAGGGGAAAATCTAGTGAACTTTTCAACCATATATAGTTCAAAATCCAATTACAGAATAAATATAGCATTCATTTTCAAGGTCAAAAACTTCTACAGATTAATTAACCTGCTAAATTAGTGTAACTGTTTTAACAAATTATGAAGCATCATAAGCAAAAGGGTTTCATTTCATACATTATTTAATTCAGCAATGATGATGATTCCTTACCGGGAGCTACTGCTGTCTAGCCAGGTTGATATGTTCTCTCCCTTGCGGCGTGTTGATACCAATGGTTGCAGGGTCTAACAACATCTCGGAGTTACTGAAATCCGCCTCGTGCTCTCTCTGCTTTAGTTTCAAGATTCTGCGGTCATTTTCCAATTTCATTCGCTTGTTTTCCATCTTCATCTTCTCCATCTCCCTATCCTTTTTGCTGCAGTATCTCAACCACTTAAACCGTTGCTTCTGAAGTTCAAGAGCCTTGGCTTGGTACTCGGCATTTTGCTCTTGAAGCTGCAACAGTTGTGCCTTAATCCACTCTCTTCGCTCCCACGGTGACTTTGCAGGGTCTTGAAAAACCTTTGTCATTTCAACCTCAAGTTTCTTCATCCTAGTAGACGTCGGCAGCCAAGAGTAGCCATCCTCCTCAGTTAATTTATCTCGATCACGAAAAAACTCCTCCGTTCTCCTCCCTCCATCCCCGTGTGCATTAATATTAATCTCATCATCCAACTCATCGTCCTCGCTCTCATTGTTATCGTCATCGTCCTCCTCAGAACCATCGTTATCTCTAGAGTCCTTCCCGTGTTCCAACGAATAACCATGCAAGTCAAGATCATGACTATTCGGTACCCTTTGTCCATTATGGTAAGCACACATTTCCTTATAAAACAAATGCTTCGAACTCAATATCTTCCTAACATCATCTTTCGCCTTACCAGACAAGTTCGTCATCGAATCCATCAACGCAGGATTCTCAACCACTTGACAACAAGTTCCCCTACCAAGTATCTCATTCAATCTCTTATACCTCTTATTCAAATCATTAAACTTATCCTCACACTGTTGCGGCGACACATGACAACCCTTACTTATCATTATCTTCGAAACAGTTTTCCACTTACCCTTTTTCTGTAAAACAACAGACTTCCTTTTAACACCATCTCCACCACCAATTGTCCCATCATCACCAACACAACTCACCACCGCTATAAGAAGCCCAACCACATCATCCGTCCACTTCATTCTCTGCCAGGGAGACCCTTTTTTCCCTTTCCCACCATCAAAATAATTCTCGCAATTCCCATCTTCCGCATCATCGTCTTCGCTCATATCATTATCATTGACCGGATTCGAATTCGAGCTAGCAATTGCTTTCCCTTTACCAAAATTCAACCCAACAACATTCAAATTCTTCACATCAATTAAACCAATTTTGTTATCACTTTCCAAACCAGTCATGATATTCATATGGTGTTTACCATGCCTATGAAATGGAGATTTAATGTCCAAAATACCCCCAGCGGAACCACCCAAAAAACCACCACCTAAACCAGAACCATTCATAACTGAAACACAATTCTGAAACCCTAATTCCCAAATTCCCGGTGCTGATTATAAAAAAACCGAAATAACTGAAAGAAAAAAAAAAGGGAAAAAAATCTACCACTTAAATTAAAAGCAGAAATTAATGAACTGTCTAGATCTGGTTTAAGATTTTACCTGTTGAAAAGTGATTATGATTAATCAGTACTAGCATAGAGAGAGAGAATGTGTGTTGGGAGTTTCCTTTATTTTTGCCATCGGTTTTCATCTTCAAGCTTTTGCAAGTTCCAACACTCTCGTACTTATAAAAAATAGAAAAAGCTTGTTTCATATAACATTGTTTTTTCAACAAATGAAAAGAATAAACTGTTTTAGAAATTTAAATAAAAAATCATTTCTTAAAAATATAATTCAAAAATAAGTTAAATATGTTAAAAAGTTTTGTTTTTAATAATTTAATTTTTTTTAATCTATAAATAATTATGTCAATAATCTTTTTAAATATATTAGTTGCTTAAAAATTGACGTTTTCGTTATTTATATTATGTGACATGAATATTGATTATATTTTACTTATTTTGTGTGTGTGCAAATATTAAACTATATAGTTAATTTATATGGTTTTAAAGATTATTTATTCAATTCAATTTCAATAAAGTCTCAAAGATTTAGTTAATCTAAATTGAAGAGGCTATTTCATCTCCTATAAATTTTTGAGCTGATTTTTTTTTTCGCTTTATATTGTCACTACCATTACCATTAACTAATAAAACACATTAAATTCTGACGGAGCATTTAAAAATACAAAGGCAAAAAATATTATTTATTTATTTAGTGAGTTAATGACTCCCCATTAATGGCTCTTTTTAAATTTATTATTTTTTACGGTTTGAATTAACTTTTAAAAGAGATTTGGATTTGAATATGAAAGTGGTGAAGGGAATTTTTTTTTTTTTGGATAATCCACCATTTACTTGAATTCAAAGAAATCCACATAAACTTAAACCCAGTCCTTGACCAATATAAGTTCCCAAGACACTTGATGCATATTTGAACATGCTTGAATCAATGAATCCACTAGTCCTCTATACCGTGTTTAATGACTCTTTATCTTTGATTTAATCACAAACTCAAGAAGCAAACACATTCCATCTGATGAGGTCTTAATCCATAAAATGAATACATGATTCTTTTACATCTCCTTTTGAAAGCAAAGTACGAAAGCTTGTCAACACCACACAATATCTTATGCCCTAAATAATCATGCTTCCTATTAATGGACAGGAAAACCTAATCCTCCTTGAGAAAACCTCTGAGAAACCACGAGAAAAATGACCTTGTATTGACTAAGGGGCCATAAGAATGAGGGTATATTCTTCCTTTATCCCCGTTAGGACTCAACACAACTTGTAGAGGACTAAGAGCACAGACAACGCCTTCATAACCTCTGAATCTTTTTCAGCAACCTATCTTCATAAAACAAATAAAAACTAAAAAATTGGTTAGCTATGCATGGATGATTAACCTAGATGATATGTAACAGATCAAAAAAATCTAAGGGTAAAATTTAAGATATAACAACACGTATGCACATATTCACAACTATACATACAGACAAACAAAAAGCCTAGGTTTAGAGTTCACGAGCGTGGAGTCATGGTCTACCCATCCCAAAAGGTGTGTACTATGGGTATATTCCTGCACAACAGATTCTATAAAGTTCCTACAGTCATCGATAAATCTTTTGGATATTATCAGCTTGCACGACTACTCATGCGGGCCAATAATATTCTCTACATAAACTCGTCTTAGTGTAGTATCGCATGACAACCATCACAGATCCACACCTGGATAATCACTACACTACGTCTTAAAAAGGCATAGAGGGGTGAAAGGTAACTAAAGGTCCTCAGCTTCACGGACTCCCAGGTCGGAAAAATTAATGCCAATACGGTTACTTGTATCAGACATCAGTAATCCCAAAGGGGCCTCCACTGAGCATGGTTATCATATGCTATACATGTTAGGACTACTCCCAATAACTAACTATTGATTATACCACAATCCTATTATAAATGTACACTCTATTAGAACACAGATTGGTTCTTAATAATATCTCTATGCTTTGATGATAACTATTATGAAATTTTGTATTTAAGAATTATATACTCTAAAATTTGCTTGAGAGTGTTTACTGCAGATAGTAAAGAAATTAACACTCCAGAAGCAAATCAGAATTGAATACAAGAAATGAGCTAGACTCTGAAGCGCCAGATGCATTCATTAGAAGATTCTGATTGCTGTTGATCGGTGGATTTCAGTTGTGTTTTCAAATGCTGTTTGTGGTTAATTTCGCAATGTTTTTATCTAGTTTTCGAAGCTTTAGTTGTTACTATCTGCATTACTCGTAGTTGTGTGTCTTCGAGTCTTATTTTGAAGTTTATGTTGCTTTTGCCGCTAGTGCGTTTGATTTGGTTTCTTTTAGTGTGTTTTTGGCAGGAATGGAGAGCACGACAATCGCACCGCATTCGGAGGAAAAGAAAAGGCGAAAAAGGGAACTCAGAACTGCAACACGGGTACCCGTGTTGCACAACACGGCCCGTGTCATGAAGGACACGACTGGCAGACACGGGTGGACCAAAGCAGATGAAAAAAGAAGACTCAGACTTGCAACACGGGTGCCCGTGTCATGCAACACGGCCCGTGTTGCAGCCCTTGGAGAGGAACACGCCCTGAAGAAGCCAGCAGCCTGACACGGCCACCCGTGTTGCACAACACGGCCCGTGTCAGGGCCACTGAACGTGAAATTTCTTTGTTTTCTGATTTTTTGCTGTCAGACCTATTTCGAAGGGCATTTGAGACATTTCGCTATGTAATTTGAATTTAGATATAAGAGGCACATTTTAGAAAGTAAAGGAGGACTTTTTGGAACTGATATTAGGATTGACAACAGAGAGGAGAGTTCGGCTGGAAACAGAGGATCGATCAAAAGCGGAAGCAATTGATGATCCAAGGATTTCAACTTGCATTGTAATGATCTTCTCCTTTTTAATTCTAATTACTTTTATGTTTACCAAGAACATGAGTAGCTAAACCCCAAGTTGTTAGGGGGTGGTCCTTAGTGCGATGTAATGACGTTTGTTTAATTATTCTATGAGAACTATGTTTTTACCTTAATATATTTTATTTTGCATTAATCATATTCGCATTCATATTGGAAAGTAGAATTCGAATTGTGCTTAGGCGTTAGTCTGGAAAGTCAACCTAACACTTGTGCAAAATAGTATCACGGTCGATATTGCTTAGGAATGAGGATATCCCGTATCACGTATTTTATGGTCGGAACTATTGCTTAATGTTTTTCAGGGACACTAAGGAATTAGTGAACAGGAAAATCATCAAAGGGTTTCCATTAAGGAATTAAGGCAACTAAAGTGGCCAACTGATAAATTAAGGTTAATAACCAGTATAGTAGAATAATCATACAGGGTCTTTACTCGTGTCGTCTCCACTCCCCTAACACTGTTCTTAGATTGATTAATTAAGTTCGTATTTACTTGTGATATTACTCTGCTACCAAACAAACCACTAGACCTTTTGTTCAATTGAATCCTAAAAATTCCGTTAATTACTACGCAGTCCTCGAGATCGATACTTGGGACTTTTCCCTTATTACTACAATTGGTAAAAATAGTACACTTGCTATTTTCCCGATCAAGTTTTTGGCGCCGTTGCCGGGGACTGCCAAATTAACATTGTTTTTAGAATCCAAAAGAAATTTTGTTGCTCTGCGACTAAAATTTTATTGTTTACTGCATAACTTTTATCCGTTTATTATCTAACGCTTGTCTAATTGTGTATGCGAGGTCAGGCCTCAGCTAAATATTCTTTTGATACAGAACCAGAACGAGCATTACACGAAAGACGGAGATTAGCTAAAGTTAAAAGACTGGAAGAAATAGAGGAAATTATATCCGTGCAGAGCGACTCCGAAGAGAGAGAGACACCACCTGAGACTGTTCAAATGGCTGGAAATCCACCTCAGCCTGAAAGACTGCTAGGAGACTATGGAGGGGCCAATGCTCAAGCGAACCGGATGACCATTGTGAATCAACCGGTGAATGCTGCGTATTTTCAGCTACACCCTTCCACCATCCGTCAGTTGGAGAGCAAGCCGTTCGCCGGAAGAATCAACGAAGATGCAAATAAACATCTTCAGAGATTCCTTACAACCACCACTTCGCTGAAAATAGAAGGACATTCCGAAGAGGCCAAGAGATTAGTTATGTTCCCGTTCACACTCACTGATGATGCGGAAGAATGGTTTTACTCGCTTCCCGCTGGGAGTATCACAACATGGCAAGAGATGGAAACTGCGTTCCTGAATGAGTATTTCCCTGCCTCAGTGTTCATCCGAAAAAGATACGACATTGTCAACTTCAAGCAAAAAGAAGGAGAATCTTTAGGGGATGCATATAAGCGGTTTAAGAGGTGTCTTACAGCATGTCCTACTCATAACATGGACGCCACGGAGCAGATGCAAAATTTTGTGAATGGATTACGACTCAAAACGAAACAGCTCATAGATACTGTTGCCGGTGGCTCAATAAACTTCTCAACGGCCACAGGTATCAGAAGGATCATAGAAGCAATCGCTGCGAACGAGCACCTTGAGTTGTATGATCGCACGGTTAACCAACCGGAAGGTAAGATTGATCTGAAGCTGGCAGACCAGGTTGTTAAAATGGAGGATCAGATCACCGCTGAGGTAGAGAGAAGGTTAAAGAAAATGAATGTTGAAACTCAGGTAGTGGCACAGGTTGAGCCAGTTCAAGCAGCACCTTGTGAAATATGCGGTGGGCCACACTTTACAATGCATTGTGTAGCAACTCAAGAGCAAGTGGAACAGATTAATATGTTGAGGCAGAACAATCCTTACGCCAACACATATAATCCTGGTTGGAAGAATCACCCAAACTTTTCATGGAAAGATCAACAAGGTAATGTGCAAAAACCGGTTC